TAAAGCTTTCAAGCTGGATTTTATGTGTTGTTTGTTCTCACCTCAACTCTATCCACAGACTGACAAATAACATCAACAGCTAATCCAAAAAACCTGTTTACACTCTTAGCCATAAAACCTTCTTCATAGTAAGTCTTACCTTGGTCATTGGTAACTCCCAAACTCTGGTACAAGTTTAATCAGATAGCACTATCACCAATACTCAGTGAACACAAATGCTACATAAAGTCATAGTGGAACTACTCCGTCCAGACTCAACTCTGATAGTGGCCAAATTGAAATGGCTAACACAAGTCACTGACTGAGCCCTGCTCTGGCCACAGAATGAGGGCCAACACAGGCCACTGTGAGTTAGCTCCATAGAACATTCCTGATATGAGCTATGGACAAAGACAGAATCCTCACACTGGCTAAAGTCAGAAATCACACCTTGAACTTACTCTAGCCAAATATGCATCCCAAATCCTGTTCATATTCATCATTGAAATCCTGGCCACAAACTGTACCATAATTTTGTCCATATATGAAATGCTAACTCTCGTTTGAGACAAGGCTCTAGGGCACATGACAGATAATGTCCTAACATGGCAACAGACAATATTAGACATTGACTGTGCCTTACCATTGGCCACAGACTGAGACTTAATTATTGGACCCAGAATAAACTCTAACCATGAATACAAATTGAAACTTAACCTGATGAAAGATTGAACATAAATCCTGTTCATATTCTTACTTCATTTTTCCCTAGGCAACATCATCAGCATGAAGACTAATCCGAGGCAGAGTCATGGTCCTGGCCTTTATTGACTTTCAAGCCTAGAAATAAAAGTGATTCCAACACTGACCAAAAACTAAAGTCAAACATTGAGTTGAGCCCTAACCTTGGGTGTGGTCTAAGTCTGGTCCACAGACTGAGCCCTAACTCTATTTTAGAAGAGGCCTCTTTCTACACACAGACTAAATCCTAATTCTGGCCAAAATTTGAACCCAAATCTTACATCTTGACTTCATAAACCAGGCCATTCTAGACTTACAGCAGCCTCAGAGTGAGATTTAACACCCTGAGGCTGCTGTTAGTCCAGAGTGGTCAGAGATGCACTTTAATCTGTGACACAGACTGAACCATGGCTATAAATCTGGGGCCTAACATTGCTATCAGGCTGAACCCTAAACTTGGTTTGATGGTCTTCTGATCATGAATCCACATTGGCCTGTAAAAACAGCTACAGACTTACTAAATCTTAACCTGAGAAAAGATTGAAGCTAAATACATTCTACATTATACACATAAACCCTGGCCTTGACCTGGGCTCTATAATGGCTTTGGATACAGCTCTAACCTTGACCTCCTAATTGATCTCTGAATCCAGCCAGACTGTTTGACCCTGGGCCACTATTTCACAAATTCATCTTATTATATAACAACAGATCAAAGAGTATCACCTTTGTATATACACATAGAAATATATGTATACATTTGTGCTCATATATAATATACATTATATATAAAATTTCTATATGGCTTATTGGAGATATAGATATGTTTTATATATTATATATAAAATTTCCATATGGCTTATTGGAGAGATGTATATATGTGTGTGTATATATATCACCATACAGAAATAGCCATATACAGCTATGACATACACAGTAAGAAATATTACTTATCACAGCTATGTATTTTAATTATTTATCTTGTTTGTTGATGGTTTCTCCCTAATAGAATATAACCTCCAAAAGGAAGGGATGTTGTGTGTGTTTTCCACTTCTCTATTCCCAGCATCTAGAATAATGTCTGGCACATTACAGGTACTCAATAAAAACTTGTTAAATTGATGAAAGAGTAATTTCTTCTTACTCTTCTGTCCTGCTACTTGACCTCTCTGTAATATATGCCAGTAATTCTACTTTGTTTTCTCTTGGTTCATCTATTTGGCCATTCCCTCTCAGCTTCCTTGGAAGGCATCTCTTTTTCTACCTGCTACTTGAATATCATTATTTTCCAGGATTCCATAATCTTTGTCTTTTTAAAAACTATTATTCTAAATACTCTCTAAGTTGCTGAGTGCAGTGGCTCACGCCTATAATCCCAGAACTTTGGGAGGCCAAGGCAGGTGGATCACTTGAGGTCAGGAGTTCTAGACCAGCCTGGGCAACACAGTGAAGCCCCATCACTACTAAAAATACAAAAAAAAAAAAATAGCTGGCCGTGGTGGCAGGTACCTGTAATCCCAGCTACTTGGGAGGCTGAGGCAGGAGAATCGCTTAAACCCCGGAGGCAGAGGTTGCAGTGAGCCGAGATCATGCCACTGCACTCCAGCCTAGGCGACAGGGTGAGAATCTGTCTCAAAAAAATAATACTCTCTAAGTAAAGTGTAAACAATTTTTCACTTATTTAATTGCCATCTATATTATACTAATGTCTCCCAAATGTTTAATTCCAACCAAGACCTCTCTCCCAAGCTTCCGACCGGCATTTCTCAGCAGCCTATCAGGCATCTCCAACCAAAAGTTCCACAGACTCTTCAAATTTTAAATGTCCAAAACTGATTTCCTCCTATTCTTCACAAAACTTGTTATTCTTTCTAGGTTCAATATCTCAGTGAATGCTACTACCATACACTTAGTCTTCCAAGTCAAAACTTGGCAGTCATAATGGACTCCTCCCCTTCTCTCACTTTCCACATCCACCAACTCCATCTGATTATTCCATTTCCTGCTAGAACTACTTTGATGAACAGGAACCCATGTTTTAACTCACCATTAAAACCCAAAACCTGTCACAGTGTATGGAACATAGTAGATGCTTTGCAAATACTTTGAAATCAGTGATCAAATCAAAGTAAAGAGTCATGAAAAAAAGATAAAAAGAAAGGAGACAAAGCTGAGAAAAGAAATTCTGCATTTGATTCACATAATGTTTTTCTGGTGTCCATAATACTGAAAATGCCTTGTTTCTCTCCTTTTTATGGCTGAAATGAGGTGATTTTTCTTTTTCTCTTTTCTTTCTTTCTTTAAAAAAAATTTTTTTTGAGACAGGGTCTTGCTCTGTCACCCACTACACTCGAGTGTAGTGGTATGATATTGGCTCACTGCAGTCCTAACTTCCCGAGCTCAAGGGATCCTCCTGCTTCAGCTTCCTGAGTAGCTGGGACTACAGGCATGTGCCACCATGCCTGGCTAATTTTCTTGATTTTTTGTAGAGACAAGGTCTCATTATGTTGCCCAAGCTGATCTCGAACTCCTGGGCTCAAGCAATCCTCCCAACTTGGTGTCCCAAAGTGCTAGGGTTACAGGCATGAGCCCCACACCCAGCCTATTTTTCTTTTTTTAAAAAAGCAAATTATTTTCCTGAGGGAATTTAAAAGTATAAAAAGTATTAAAACATAATACAGCAATTCAATTACCATCCTCCAGAACGATTCCCCATAATATCCTAGCATATGTGTTCCCAGTATGTTCTATGTGCATATGCTTTAAAAAATAAACACTATATAAGCTCAAAAATTCCTCTGATGGTTCTCTCCCACTTTCAAGTTAAATTATGGACTAATTGATATGACCCCTTGTTGCTGCCTGATCTAGTCTCTGCAATATGGAACTTTTGTTATTGTTCTCTGCACTCTTTCATGCCTTTATGCCTTTGCACATGCTTTGTATAGAATATGGTTGACCTCCCTGCCCCAAATCTGACAAATATTTTACTGGTTCTTCAACCAGTTCTCCAGAAGTAGAATGAGTTCTTCCTCCTCTATGTTCCTATAGAACTCTATGTAGACCTCTTTACAGCATTTTTCACATTGTATACTCATCTATTCCTCCCCCCAGATTCTCCTCCACTATAACTCCCCTCACCTGGATTGTGAGCTACTCAAGGGCAGGGACTATTTTTCCAATTCTGTGGCAACAGTGCCTAGCGCAGAGCTTTGTACAAAGCAGTATGCTGAATAAATGTTTGAATTTATTAAATCATCTTCCTCCTTCACTTATCTTTTTAAAATATTGAGCAATTACCTTAGGAAAATGCAATTCCTCTGTCTTTCCCTTCATTTTACTTGTGAGTCCAAAAGTTGTCCTCATCAAGAAGTTGTAGTAATTCAACTGTAACAATCCATAAAGCTATAAGGATTCATCTCTAACAGAGACAAAAAGAGGTCAAAAGTTAGGAGTGAAATTAGCCCTAATAAACAACCATTTTCCTCAACCTTTAAGTCACTTGAAAGTGCTTGGCATTCCCCACCTATGTCCAGCTCTTGTTACATAGTTTTACTCAAAAGATAAAGTTTCTTAAAGACACATATAGTTACTCGTTTGTACTTAAGTTGTATTGTCTATCTGTTCTAAACTGTTATTTATAGCAGTTTATGTGGCCACTGTTTTTCATGGCAACAACGTAGTTTCATTGTGGATTAAATAGGCTTCTTCTGGGCTGCTGTAGATCACATTTCTATGCCTATTTATGACACTGTTCCTAGGGGGAGCTATAATTCCCAATTAGAAAAACTATATACATTCTTCTGTACCTTTCAAGTGATTTTGATGCAGGTGGTTCACAAAGAACACACTTTAACAGTTTTAAAGGACTACAACTCTCAATTAAAATTCTAAGCTTATCAAAGAATAAACATCATCTTTTGAAAAACACTTAAAACTCAATAACAATTTCAAATGACGATTGAAAGTGCTTCCCGCAAAATGCTAAGAGCTTAACCAACATGAAAATAAATCTAGAGCCTTCCTCTGTCCCCACAAGCACAAAGCCATAACCCCAAGAGAGATTCTCTAAGACAGTGCATTCTAAACTACAATACCCAGAATGCCCTTCCCCGTCTGAACGCCGGGGACAATCGGAAGGGGAGGGGAAGAATTGTGTGTTTAGAGAAGTAAGTGTCCCGCGACTCCATCTCCCATAATTCTCGGTCTTCACTTGCGTCTCTCCGCCAATGGCTATACGGGATACCCTCAGGAAGAACAGCCTTCAGCGACCTCAAACTACATTTCCCATGAAGCCATGGGCTCGGGCCTCCGGCTTCCCCGGTGACCAGTAGCCAATGGGAGACGCCGCAGTGGGCACCTTGTGGGTGAGAGTCCAGCCTTGGGTCGGAGTGCCGGGTCTAGGCCTGGAGGCGCGAGGCGGGCATTTCGGACGAGAGTGGCGCGGCGTGGGGCGCAGCGAGGGCACTACGCGCCCAGGAACTGCCGCGCCAACCTGATTTTCCGCAGCTGTTTAAGGACTAGCGCTTCGGTAGCCGGGGAGCTGGAGGTCAGAGAGGCAGAAAGCCCCAGTGGCCGTGGCTGGGGACTGTGGGACTGAGGGGGCCTAGGGAGGAGGGTGCTTCCGGGGCCGCGGTCCTCAGCGCCTAACTCCGCCCAGCTCCGCCTCTGCAGGGGAGGGGGTGTAGGGACTGGGAGTCCGGGGTGGGCTTTTGAGCTCTAGGCGCCAGTTCTCATGAGCCCGGGAGCGCGCTCTCTTTGCTCTTTTCTTTTTTTTCTTCCAACTCGCCCGCCCCTTTTCTTTTCCCACAACGCCGCCCGCCTGCCCCTGGCGCTGTGCCTCCTCAGAGGTCCGAAGTTGGGGTTCGCGTCCAGGGTTTTGCCTAGGCGGTGACTGGACTTTAATTCTTACCGCAGGAGTTGGGTGATCTCTTTCCTCTTTTCCCTCAATTTGTATTTCATGTTTGGGCACATAACCCTCCCTGCGCTACACTCCCCATTTCCTCTGGGGCATGGGAATTCCTGGCCATGCCCAGGGCGTGACTTTTTTTCAAACTTTCTCTTTTTGCCTCGTTAATTGCTCGCCATCTCTTTACTGGCCCCTCAGCCACCTGCCACTTCCCCCACCAGGTCTTTGGAGTGGGAAGGGTTTCCCCTCAATTTCTAGAAGGGATGGGAAGCAAAAGAGAGAAGGAATCTCGCTTTTGAGAAATGTGTGTTTAAGGTTCAGTACAGGGTTCGGATGAGAGTAAAAGGCAAGTTAGACTGGTTATAAAAACCCAGCGCTTTAGGGGTTTCTAGCAAAGACGGATAGCACTAATGTTGACAAACATTTAGGGGGCACACCTTTATTCTACAGAATAAAGTAGACCCTGTGAAACAGACCGTATTAATAATTGTATTATTACAAACGCGTGCAAAAAATGCTAAGGGGGTCAGTGGAAGAGCATACTGATGGGGGTGGTGAGTTCATCTATGGAAGTTCAAGCCTAACCCGGGAAGTGCTGAAGCCCTCATCCCGCTTTCAGGCTTTGTGAAGGAGGTGAATTTTAATTTGGGCTCCAGCGGAGTACAGGGGATTTGAAGTTGTCAAAGAGGAGGGAGAAAATGCTTCCTGCTACTGAGATTGGACTTTGAGAAGGGTAAACAGAAGAGGGAGCACTGTGAGACAGGTGGGCTTGCCTGATTGGAATAAAAGAGATCAGCACAAATATACTGGGAAATAAATAGGGTGAAGAAGATTGGGGTCATAATAACATGACACTTTGAAACATACACATAGTTTGGATATTATTCTGTATCAAATAAAATTGAAGGCAAAAATTAAGATTGGATGATTTTTCTTTTCATCCTAGGGAACCTGATTTGAGATCAATTCTTGGAGAACACAAAGAAGTGTGATGGTATGTTCCAGGTGTGAGTTTAAATCCAAGAAGAAGCTTGTCTTGCAGATGTTTTGTTTGTAGCTATTCTTAGCTACAGTCTGTAGCTGTCAACTTTAAAGCCTAGAGACATCAATTTATTTTCTTAAGAAATGCATTTGCTGTCCCCGTGCATCACATTATCTGAATTGTAGTCATCTCATTGGGTGACAATAATGACTGCTATTTATTGAACACACATAATGTCCTAGTCATCATCATAAATACTTTGTTGCATTATCTTAAGAGAGTTATGAAGTAGATACTATTATTCCTGTTTTTTTTTTTCTAGAAGAAAACAGTAAAATGCACAGAAGTTAAACAATCTACTTAAGTCACATAGATTATAAGTTGAGGTTTGAGTATACAGATTTCTGACTCCGAAGCCCATACTCTGTTCAACATGGTTTGCTGCTCCCAATGTTCATTCTTGTTTTTGACTTTCCAGTTGTGGTAAAGAGAGATAGGTATAGTTGATCATCCTGATCAAAACCCAAATGATTCACTTCAGATTTCTATGTCAGAATGTATTTGCTGTAAAGTAGCTGCCAAAACCAAATTAACTGTCATTGCAACTGTAGCTAATTGTGTCTGCCAAAACCATAGTTAGTATGGCTGTTTCTGAATTAGATGATTCTCTTTATAACACATATCATACCTCTAAGCTATTTGAACCTTGATAGTACTTTGGATTTATCTTATTTTAGCATTTTAACAAGTTACCTGGGACACTAGATCTCTTTCATGACCTCTGCCCACGTGAAGTATTGGAGAAACAATGAAGCACAAGGTGTGAACTCTTCCTGGGGTCTAGTTGGGGAGTTAGATGTCCACAGTTCTGAGATACTGTAGTGTGTAGTATAACAGAGACAGGTACAAAGTGCTATGGAGGGATAAAGGAAGGTGTGACTTACTGTAAGGGAGACTCAGGGAGAAGGCTTCCTTGCAGAGGTGACATGACAGATAGGTCTTAAAGGATAGTGAGTTTGCCCCAGGCAGGGAAGGAGTGGAGGGGAGGCATTCCAGGTAGAGGAGTCAGTCTGTGAAAGATGTGTGGCTGTGTAAGAGTAGGGCATGTTCATTCAATGCGGAAGAATTCAGCATGGCTGGAGTGCAGATTGTTGAGGAAAAGGGAAGTGTAATGGGTAGGAGAAGAGTCTGGAAAGAGGTTGGGGCTGAGTTTTGAAGAATCTTGATTGCAATCCTAAGTTGGAATGCGCCCCCATAGGTCAGTGGTTATTAAAACGTAGGGCATCTGCCAGTGGTAGTTACATTGTGCTCCCACAAACATTTTAATTTTACTAGTTACATATTCAAATATGTCTTAAAAAACATAAAACTGAACTAAGCCGTCACATCTAAGATTACTTTAGATTTTACTTCATAAAAATAGAAAGTGAACCAGTTTTCAGTTCATTTAAAGACAAATGTTAAGTAATAATAGAACACATTGTGTGTGAATATGGTAAAAATCACTAAGTAATACTCAAATGACTGAAATTTGAGGAGTGCTGCTTGTAGGCCATAAGAAACCATTAACATGTTTTAGAAGAGCACCATGATCAGATTTTTACTTTAAGGACAATGACAGTGGGAAGGATACAGTGGAGGTGAACATGATGAGGCTGCTACTCTGTTCCACAGAGAGACAATAAAGACCCAAGAGTGTTAGGTGAGAGGAGGGAACAGATTCGAGAAACATTTAGGAGGTAAAATTATTAGGACTTGGTGGATGTTAATATTATTATGTCAGTGTTACCAGAATTGTTTTAAAAGTCTGCATGCCTCCCTTGCCTTTTGTCCTTTATATTCTGTGGGGAGCGATAATATTGCCAAAACATGCTATGTTTCTGTGTTCATTAAGATGACAGTGGAAGCTATAGTTACCACTCGAATGGATTTGGATTACACACAAACATCCTTCCCACCTTACTCGGTGTCTTTGAGAGCAGTAGCACAAATATTCAAGGCACTGATTAGGAATATGACTATGATCTGTGACCCTTAGACATGCAAGAAATTCCTCAGCCTTTAAGACTCAGCTCGTATGTCAATACCTCTGTGAAGCCTTCCCAACAGCCCTCGCCCAACATACATGAATGCACGCACAAAGCAATATTAGGCCTCTGGCTTCCACAGGACCCTGCACTTACCTCTGTCCTAGCCTGTACCACACTGTAGGGTGTCGGTCTGTGGATGTTTCTGTCTTCCCCACTACTAGACTGTAAGCTCCTTGAGGGCAGGGACGAGGTTTCATTCATCTCCATACCCATAGCATCCAGAACAGCACTTGACACATGGTAGTCACCTAATAAATGATTATTGGGTGAAAAGAATTGGTAAACAGATTTGCATGAATATAACTGGGGACCTTGGTAGCACAAAGTGCCAAATGCTGTGAAAAGACTAGCTGTTTGCTACATTTGCTACTTTTGCTGAAGAAAGCAGTAAATTAAAGTGCCCATAATTTCACTAAAGACCTACTTTTCCCCTCTTTTCTTCACTGTCCCCTGGTTATCTTACCTTTTTCTTTCTTATCATTTACCTATCCAGACACCTATTCCTTAGTCCTGCCTATTACTTTGCTGCTCTTGACAGAGTTCACCTTCCTTTTCCCCTGATACTTTGCCAGGAAACATCCCTTCTACCCACCCAAGTCCAGTGCACTCCGTCCTTGACATCACTCTCAAGTTCATCTCCTACTCATAGACTCTGCTACTGGGACTATAAATTGATACAGCTTTTCTGGAGAGCAATTCATCAATATGTATCAGAAACCTTAATGGAATACAGCTTTTAACCTACCACTTCAACTTCTAGGGCTCTGTGCTGAGGAAACAATCATGATGTTTCGAAAAATTTAATACTCAGTACATCTATCCCAGAGTTGTTTATACTAATAGCAAAAACAACAAAAAAAGAAAAAAAGAACATTTTAAATGTACAGTACTAGCGGTTTGAATGAAATCAATTGTGGTGCATTTATAGAATGGATTACTAAGTAGTCTTGTAAGTTGATTTTACCAAACAATATTTAATGATCTGGAAAATTGTTTATGATATATTAAGAGAAAATTCACATCATAAAACTCTCAGTACAGAGTGGCAGATCCCAGTTTAAAAACGTATACATAACACAGACACACACACACACACACACACACACACACACACACACACACACATCTGTGTAGGCATACATAGGAAAAATCCTGTAATGGTAAACACACAAAAAATATTAATAGGGGTTTGCTACAAATAGTAAGTTTGCATATGACTTCTACTTTTAACCTTTTGCATATTTTTATTTTCTAATCTACAGTATATTTGTTAATTTTTAAAAAGTTATGTTGGCCAGGCACAGTGGCTTACACCTTTAATCCCAGCACTTTGGGAGGCCAGGGCGGGCGGATCACCTTAGGTCAAACATGGGGAAACCCCGTCTCTACTAAAAATACAAAAATGAGCCGGGCATGATGGCATGCGCCTGTAATCCCAGCTACTCGGGAGACTGAGGCAGGAGAATTGCTTCAACCCAAGGGGCGGAGGTTGTAGTGAGCCGAGATTGCACCACCACACTCCAGCCTGGGAGACAGAGTGAGACTCTGTCTCAAAAAAAAAAAGTTATTTAAAAATGTTTTCCCGGTGTCCACCATTGTCTTAGTTGGGGGCATACCTTCCACCCCCCAACACACATGCATCACTTCTAGCCTGGATTACTGCTGCCTCTAGCCTGCTTCTCTTCTAGTCCACTCTTTACCAATGCTGACAGAATGATTTTTGTAAGTCACAAATCTAAAGCTATCCAGCCTCTCTATAAAATAGTTCGAAGGCTGTCCTTTGTTTTCAGGATAATATCCAAACTTCTTAGACTGGCTGATAAAAACTTTGAAAATCAGCTCCCTGCTTGCTCCTCTAGTATCAGTTTTACCTTCTATGATTTACCTTTTTGGGGGGTCTTTTGCCAGTACCAGGCACATAATAGGTGTTTAATTAATGTTAGCCAATGTTGATGTGGACTGTGTGGATTAGCTATTGTATGCCAGGCAATCTACTGGTATTTAATTCTCAGCAAAAATATTAAATACATAAAATAGTTATTCCTATTTTACAGATGAGGAAAACTAAATACACCAAAGCGAGAAGAAAAGTTATAATAAAGAGCATTTTTTAAAGAGAAAATTTAAAACCTCCTGCCATAACTCTGTTCTCTTTACTTTCCAGCAATCCCTGCTGGTCCTTGTCAGGAAGAAAACAGGCTTTGTACACTCCCTTGGGCAACTTATATGTGACCACAGCATAACAAGAACAGCCGCAAACTGACATGATCTCACCCTGTCGTGGTTCACACTGTGCTCATGTACAGAAATCTTTCCTTTGTGTACATAACACTTCATACAGGAGAGATGGAATAGCTCCAGTTGCTCTGTTTTTCTTTATTTTTTGAAATTCTATGTCATTTGGGATGGGGATGTCAGCAGAGAGGTACAGAAAACTGTGAAATAATTGAATGTACAAGAAACAATGTGTCTCATGGGAGCCAATGTCATTGGTTAATTTATTTTTTTAAATGTCGTGTAGATGTATTTTCCAGCAATCTGTCCCCAGGGAAGACCTTGGTTGAATTCAATAGTTAATCCTACTTACAGAATGCAGCCCATGTGTGCACTATATTCTTGCATTGTTAAGTGATTTTAGACATATGTAGTGCATTACCATAACGACATACAATCGAGTGTATGTAGGATATCTGATTTTCTCTACAATAATGTATCAGTGGTCATTCAGAATCCTGAAGTGTAGTCTTCCCTTCGTTTTCCTTACAAATAATACCCGTTGTGCAAAAATGGATGATTTTTAAGGAACAGAAGTCCTAAGCATGAGTCATCTGAATAAAATATTTCTTTATAAGGAATTGTTACTTTTAAATACTCCAGGAAAAAAATCTATGGTTTTCCTGCTACATGATCAAATAAGTTGAA